ACAACTGAATTTCCTCTGAGCTCAATTAACCACAACCTATTTGGCCATTAAATATACATACAGCTCTATTAAATGGCAGCTTAAGACCTTAATTATAGATGTTAGTCATGGCTGGCTCTCAGTATTTGTGCAATGCACCATTTTGTAATTACCCATTTATTTGTTCCATGCTGACACTGCCCCATTTGCCGATTTATCATGACTAATGAAAGCGCTGACATTGTGTATACAGATGCATTTGTGTCTCAGCCTAACTCACCTTTATGTGTGACATTTCTCCTCTGGTAGTGGAATGGACCAAAGCAATGGCAGCAGTAATGGTGGATATGGATCTCATCCCCCTCCATACAACTTTCAGGAGAGCTCTTATTCAGGGATGAGTTATCAGGTTAGTAGCAATATTAGACCGTTTTTATTACAGAAGAAAAGGGAGTGGGGTACTGAGCTAAAAATGTGGTTCTTTCCTGTTCATTTTGAATTTAATGTCCATCTGTTCAAATACCATCAGCCACACTATTAGACTTTGATCTTGGGATCATCATAAAACCTTCATCATAAAAATGTCCACAGGAGCTGCTTTGCACATTTGATTACACATGGGTGATAGTTAATTTTATTCATTTCAGAAATAAAACTAAGACCACTATTCACATTATCTCAAATGATTTTGTTTTAGAAGTGTAGTTTGAACTGTCTGTTATGCTTTGTTTGAATCCCTCAGGTGGGGAAGGGGAATATCGCAGTGGTCTCCCCTCCTGGCAGCTATGATAACATGGTCCACCCTGAGGGTGCTGCAGCGGCTGCAGGTGACCAGCAGTATGGTCAAGCTCCACCTGACTACTCCTATGGCTTAGAGGATAGCGGTTTCAGTGATGCTGCCATACGAAGAGGTGAGGGACACAGCGAGAAAGAGAAAGCGAGAGAACTGAATATGCTTTGGTTTGTGTGGACAGAGCTGAAAAAAGGACAGACAATATTTACTCCCTCATTTCCTTTGTAGTGTTTTCTTGAAATTGATTTACAATTGAAAATTGTTTCCTGATCTGCTCAGCTCTTCACCTCCCACACTCCTCAATATGTCTCTGTGCCTTCCTTTCTGAACAGGTTTCATAAGGAAGGTCTACCTGACCTTGATGATTCAGCTGCTGGCGACGGTTGGGATCATCTGTGCTTTTCTTTACTGGTGAGACACCATTACACAAGGGAAATCCTTCCAAAGTAGAGGAATCCATGTCAGGCACCTAAACATTTATAAACGTTTTGTAGTCTGTGAGCACGTAAGAGCACCCAGCAACACAGAGGGGCATGGGCACAAATTGTCCCCACAGAAACTTTGAGCATGCAACCTAGCACTGCTCAAATAATCTTAAATATGTGAGGTGAGAGGAGATGGCGGAGAATAAAATAGTATTTCTACCACATATTACTTTGCTTGCAATAGTTTGAAAGCTTTATATGTTTTGTATAATGTATGTGGTAGAATGCTGCTACAGTAATTTCTTTTCATAAATTGCATTCAGACCCCATGTGCACCATGCTCTGTCCTCTGTTAATATTTAATAAAATCATTCTACTGCTGCTTTCAAATAAATGGTGCCTCTACTAAACACTCCCTTCTCTCTCTCTTTTTTTTTATGAATCAAATAACAGGGACGCTCTCTGGCAATGGACACGAGCCAACAACTGGTTCTCCTACACCATGATGTAAGCCGTTCAAAGCATGCACTTAGACTTTCTTAATTTCTTATATTGACACAAACTCAAATAGTAGTATGGTTTAGTGCACACAACATGCATAAAACATAAGTTCCAAAGTCAACAAAGCATACCTACAGGGTGGTACACACCATTACTGTACATCGAGAGACACAAAGGTGACTGAGCTAATCAAAGCATGCAGCGAGTCAAACAAGACAAGCTTAATAGTCAGAATAACTACAACAGAGATGATCAGTTAGGTATTAAGGGTTAAGCCAAAACTGGATTACTGGGGCACAGAATCCGGGAGGGTGGGCATCACCCCCAGCCTACGTTTCTCATATCCACTATACCTTGCACAATAGAATAAAAGCACACTTGTCACACTTGTTTTAACCAGTCTGACCATCTACAAACCTCCTGTTTGGTGAGTTCCCTGGATGAAAATGTTGCTCTTGGGAAATCCACAGAAGTAAATTACAGATTGTCACCCCAGTCTGAATCCAAATCTAAGAAACTGCCAGCTACACTGTGCATAAAAGCACTCAATGAATTCACATGTTGAGCACAGTGCTCTTTTATTTTTATACTGTCGCCTTTTTATTTGCTATTTCCAATATACTCTATATTCTTTGTGAAATAGGGCAGTGGTGGTGGTGCTCATTTTGGCCATGTCCTGCTGTGACAACCTACGTCGTCAAGTCCCTCTCAATTTCATTGCCCTGGGCCTGTTTGTGAGTAGAAGCAGTACCAGCCAGGCATCAAATTAAACCCCCACCTGCTCTAGCTTACTGTTTTGTGGGGGGGGGTTGTTTTGTTTTTTGTTTTTTTTTGTCATGTATTTACCTTCCATTTATTTTTTGCAGACTATTGCTGAAGGCCTGATGCTCGGATCTGTTGTGGTGTGAGTGTTTGTTTCCAAGGATGAATCCCCACCTGATGCTGACTCACCTGCACAATAACAACCCTATTTGATTCATATCGGATATTGCGTACGATGGCGGCAATGAAGCCATCAAACATGAAAAGATGTTACCAAAGTTGGGTTACCAAATGAAAGAGTAAATTGAATCATATTGGGTGAAGCTGGGGATAAATCAGAAGCATCACAAACAGCTCAAACCAGTTTTTTTTTCTCTACCAGTGCCTGCATAAACACAGCTTAGCTGCCTTTTCCATCTGTGAGATATTTCTTTTTTAGCAGGATGTCATTCTGTCAGTAAAGGAGTCGGTTGAGGCCTGACTATCAAAAATACATTCAAATTATCATATTTATAGGATATTAGCATAACTGAAGTAATAACTGATACAAAATGACCACAGGCAATACATTATGCAGTGCACATCCGGTGAGGGTCTCTGCCATTGCTCTAGTTAATACAGATTATTGAACGGAATAATACTATGTGTCTTATAAGAAAATGTTACCTATTTGGGATAGATGAGAACCCCATTGTTCATGTATCCTCTCTGCCCGCTGACTAGGTACCATGATACCATGGGGTGTGTTTCCCACTGCATATCTTTTTTCTCTCTGCAGATATTTTAATGCTGAAGCAGTTCTGTGGGCTGTGGGGGCAACAGCGCTGGTGTCTCTCTCCCTGAGTTTGTTTGCTGTGCAGACTAAGGTAACACACTGTCACACAGCTCGGTTTGCAGCGCAGTCAAAAGTGAAATGCTGTAAACTGTGGCAACTTTGCTATGCAGTCAGTGGTAAATGACCATACACTGAGCTGTGTTTCCCATGTGCAGTCAAAGGAAAAGTGTTAAGCTGAGCTGCTGATTAGGTTTTCTACTGCTGTGGTTGCTGCAGTATGTGCAGTCACCAGAACACAGTTTAAAACTCGGTCCAGGCAAAACTGTGATTACTGCTAAGATCATTTGTTAGATTAAATGCATATGGGGACAAATTAAATCAAAATAAAGTGTCTTAGTAAAGTGTTGGGCCACCACATACCAACAGAACAATGTCAGTGCACCTTGACTCTCCAAGTCTCTGAGCTCTACAGGCGGGAAGAACACTGTTCTTCCAAAACATCTTCCCTCAGCTGGTGTTTTGATGGTGATGGTAGAGACGCTGTCTAACACGTCAGTCCAAAATCTGCCATAGGTGTTCAACTGGGTTGAAATCTGGTGACTTTGAATGCCACCGTATATGGTTCACATCATTTTCATACTCATCAATCCATTCAGTGACCCCTTGTGCCCTGTGGATGGAGGTACGGTCATCCTGGAAGAGACCACTCCCATCAGGATACAAATGTTTCTTCATAAGATAAAGGTGGTGACTCTTCCTCATTCCAGCATCTGCTTTTGTTGTGTTTCTCCCCCTCACTGATTTAGGTTTTTCCATTGCCTCGTGTCTGTAAATCACTTCTGTCCAGTGATGGTACAGAGTTTAAACCTGTCCTCATGCTGGCTGAGTTTCCTACTATAAATCTTGAGTTAAGAAGTGGCCAGGAGCCTTTTGTTATTTGATAAATCACTTCCTCTTGCTTTTTGCCAGCCTTCTTTCACCATGAACTGTCTAATAAAGCAAACATGCTACAAAATGGATCTTTAAAAAGGCCCTGTCATAGTCATGCTTGGAGACATGATGGTCCTCCAGCAAGATATTTTTAAATATTGAAAAAGCCATTTCTGGTTTGGTTTGTTCAGTGACATACATATACATTTTTAAAGAAGTCTGACAATCTGATAACAGACTTGGATTCCTGATCTATAACCAATTATAACAAGAACTGAATGTAAACAGCTGTGATATATCAAACTGTTGTGTCTGTTTGATTTTACTTTATATGTGTTGGCAACATACATCAACAATCCTTCTTTCAAAGTCACTTTGTTTATATAAAATAGCTTATGCTTGTACAAGTGACATTTAAGTTTGAGTGGAAGTTGCAGTGTCAGTGTTTTATTAGCCAGAGTCAATGTGCACAAGTGAGGAGACCTTTTGAGAATCACTTCATTGATGGCTTGAGATGCTGCTCCAATAAATGGCTCATATTCATAACTAAAGTAATCATACACCCAAGAGGCCGAAAAATAGACAAGTGAATAAGATATGAGCCAAATTCAAATTGTATTTAAAGTCCCATTTAATTACATTGGGCCTATTATTTCATCTGCAGGGGCAGCATTTATTTTTTTCAGCTTAGACCGGATGAAATAATGAAACAGTTGTCTAATATTTATACTGAGAATATATCTGGACTGAAGCTCTTAGCACATTATTAATCTGTAGCAGCGAGGCATATGCATCACGTTAAATAGCTTATATTTATGAGGCAATGCAGTGATGACAAAGTGACCTGCCCCTCAGCCCCTTTTAAATGTATGTATATATATATATATATATATGTATATATATGGGGTGCTGAGTGAGCAGTCGCTAACACAAACACATTTTTTTTCCTTTATTTTTTTAATGAATTCACATTCATCTTGCAGTGACCAGCACCTTTTGCTCTGCAAGACAGGCTGTGCACAGAGCTCTTTTGTCTCTGTCACTGTGATATAAATGTCATACAGATTGCCTTGCATGTTTAGCTCATAGCTCCTCAGGTGATCAGTGTTAAGTGATTCTCTTGAAGAAACTGCCATCTTTTTTCTGTCGATCTGAAAAGGGCATACAGGCCAAAAGGCAACCTCCACTCCCCTGTGCCTGCATTGCATATTGTTGATTAATTATACAGGCTCATTATATCCAGAATCTTTAGGATTTTCTTGTGTGCTGAGCTGCAATGTGTCTTCATCATCTAGTAATCTGCAGCGCCTCACAGCACAGCTGCAGTGCAGACGACCTTGAGCGCCCTGGTTTTTTACACAATGATGAGTATAAACGAGAGATGTTCTATCTACAGCTGTCTGTTTGAGAGGCTTGTCACATTCAGGGTCTGTCTCTTGTTTCCCCCTTTCTGGCCCCAGTGGGACTTCACTAGAGCAAATGGAAGTCTGTGGGTGTTTGCCTGGACCCTCTTTTCGTTCGCATTGCTTTGTGCAATCCTCCGATCACAGGTAAATCAAGGAGTCATTGTGTTTACACGTATTTGCTGTGAGAACAGGTTTGAAATGAATTGCAGCAGTGTGCAGTTAGAGGCAGACAGTATATACAGCCTCATAGCTTTTATCCCTAGGATGTACTGGCACTGACCTGTGTACTGAGCAGACTATAAAGAAGAGAACGCTCGCTCTCAAACCTCTCAGGACTCGCACTGATCTCAGACTGATGCATTTAAATGCACTGGGCTGTTTACTGTGACGGCTGTTAATGCTATAGCCTTAAGCTGGGAAGTTACAGAAAAAAGTGTTTCATTGATTTTAAATTGCTATTTTTACACAAGACAAAGGAACTGGAACAGAAAATAAACTGCTTTCTCAAAGCATATTGTGTCCACCCTTTATCAACCTTTACTATAACGTTTACTCTACAGATCAACTAGAAAATAAAAGGGATACAAGTATGCTCACTTTTTCATCTACTGTGTTCAAGGTTGAGGCTGAATTATTGTCTGCATACTGTCATTTTATTGATAATCACAAATCAGTATAAATCCAGTTGTGTTGCTGAATACCTGTGCTTATTTTGTGTCTCTGATTCCTTCAACAGTACCTTTACATCTTATATGCCTGCTTGGGAACCCTTCTCTTTTCTTTAGTAAGTACACTCAAATGGTGATTATGTAATATGGTTTTCTTCAACACAGGCTGAACCGAATCGAGAATCAGATGGAGGCTGACCTTTTAAAATGGCAGAAACCATCATCAAAGAACATTTAATGACAAATGAGTATATGCGGTCAAAGATTTGATCCCAGGGCCAAGCACCCTGCCACCAGAGTTTGTCACAGTAGTTAGTTTAAAGAGAGAGAGACTCAGATGTGCTCATGCCCTTTAATTTCCATTATGTAATGCTTAACAGCAGTGGGCTTCATCGTCACAGTCATCTCTCTCTGTGCCTTTGGCATTAACAGCAAATGTTGTGACCCATTCCGTCAGCTGGTGGAACAAACTACGACCACACACAGAGCTGATCAAGCTGTCAGCACCAAGTCACAACCGTTTCAGCTGTACGACTGTGACTACACGATTACTTATATAGCCTGTTATCTGCACGGTCACCTCTCTCGAAGATAGGAAATACCGCTCGTGTTTTCTTTCAGACTGATTCCTGTAACTGGCTGGTCTCTTTCATCACACAGCTACGTTGCCTTCAAGTGTCAATGTTAAAGCATCTCTTCTCACTCTGTCTCTCTGCAGTACTTGGTGTTTGATACTCAGCTTATCCTGGGTGGAAAACACAGGAAGTATGAAGTATCTCCTGAGGAGTATGTGTTTGCAGCTCTTAACCTCTATTTGGACATTGTCCTCATGTTCTTCCTCCTGCTGCAGGTCATTGGCCTCCAATCTTCATGAGAGGCAAACACCAAACTTCTACTGTACTTGTTTAAATGTATTTAAATATTTAGTCAAGGCTCACAAACTGCAGTTATTTTTTCCAGACGCCTGCTATAATGTTTAAGTACACAGGGAAGTTGCAGCTGTTTCCAACACTTTTATTGTCATAATATGTGCTATTGTTATATTACATGTAAATCTGCTGCCGACTGTTTTTACCATCATATCTGCTGCCGTTGGTCATTTGCACTACTGTCCATGTGCGTCTCAATCTCACAACCATCTGACAATCTTCTTATTACTATTTGCACTACTGTCACTGACTGTACATGGTTTGAGTCATAGCCTATTAGGTTATACCTTTTAGCTTTATTCTAATCACTTTGACTTAGTTTTCTTATTCTTTTTATTCTATTTTTACTCTACTTTTATTCTATTTTAGTTTTCTAAATGGTATGGGCAGTCAATAGTAGGTGAGATAGAAACAGTATTTCGATTTTCTGCATGTCCTGCAGATACAGTGAAGTGACCATAAAAATCTTTGATCCTGATCTAATTAGCAACAAACTAATAATCTCTGTTAAAATGATTGTAATTTGTCTTGTCTAAATGAAACTTCAAGATTGCCAAACTCACTCCATTAAATGACAATCTGTCATCTTTAACACTCTCACAAAGCTACGTCAGAGCTCTCTCTCTATGTTTGTTTAGTCTGTATGCATCTCAGTGACCAGAGAAGAGAACCTGTAACAGCTGTATGAATAAAGTACACACATAAAAACTCAACACATAGTTTATTGGTATCACACATCAAACATTTTTCATATAAAGAGGGAATGTATCAAGTATAGACTATGAAAGTGCAAATAGCATTTCAAGGATTAGTTCCTTTACAATAGAAAATCTCAATGAGTTACAAAATGTTATGTGTTATTTTAAAATAAATCACCTGGACATTAGAGGTGAAATAAAAAGGAAGTACAAATTCCATTTAGACTTGTACCCATTTCATGCACAGCACACTGTTACACAGAGAGGGCAACATACGTCATCTCCTCCGTTTACTTACTGTAGTGTATGTTAACCGAGTCCAACAAACCACCATATGGCACTCTGTTTCACAACTTCAAGACACTTGTCAAAGCAATAACTACTGCATCTTTAGATTTAATGCGGCTCTCTATATCTGCTAGAAAAGATAAGCTAATTGACTTCAATCAGACAGTCTGTGCAAAAACGTGACTTGAAGGTAGAACACTGATCAATGCACTTCATCTCATACTGGTTATGCATAATCCATTTCCCTTGTTGGATCAGTTTCATTTCATAGATACCTACTTTATATTGCAACTTTCCTATATTTTCGTGTCTTCAGGTAAGATACATTCCAAAGTCAATACAGTGAATTTAGATTGTTTCAACCACAGGAAAGGTTTTGTGTACTGTAAGAAGCCCTACTGTGCAAAAAAATGAAAAATAAAAGCTTTCAGAATATTTCAAAGTGACATTGACCAATAACCATTATACGAAATCATATAAAAATTTGTGTTATCCATTAATGCAGTGCTACTAGAACCAACAAAAAGCCTCATGCTACAAATACTTTGATGAAAAACAGCTCATGTCTGCACACTATAAACTTTGTGAGAATCAACTTTAAGGTAACAGGTGTTTGTTTTGTTTACACTGCACCGTAAATTAGCACTCAGAAAATGTGTGAAAAAGAACTAAATAAAGGTGACTGACATAAAGGCACTGTAGAAAACCGTTTCAAAGATGCAGACCCCTCCCCCAGCCCCTTGCCAACATGTTTAAAATCCAATACACATTCATGTTTTTTCTCCATACGTTACCCTGCAGTCCAGGACATCTCCAGAGCTCTGAGAAAAGTTTATATTATACTGTAGGGATGCAGAGATTAATTACAGTAACTTAGGCTTGTTTAATTAATTCATCAAAGTCTGATGTTTCACCAGCCCTTCCTGGAGTTTTTAAACAAGGTTACTCACCGTCTGCTTAGCCTGTACACTCTACATTCAGGTGCAGCTGCTCAAACATTAGTTTAAGACGAGCTACAATGGAATTTAGAATGTTGTGACTGAAGTATGAAACAAATGATACTGTGTGTTTCTGAAGCTTAGATGACATTTCCCATTGAAATTATGTCAGGACTGAGGCTTTGAGATGAATAACCATTGTCTTCAAGTCCATTTTGAAATGTTTTCGAGCAGGCCACCTAATGTTCATTTGAATAATTAATCAAAACTCTTTATGAATGTTTCACGTAATGTGCACAACTGTTATGCTCCTAAATTACTGAGTCACACAGTGAAAATATCACTCAGCCACAATCTCAAATACAATATGGCTCAAGACTTTCACATTAACGTTTAGCTGAGTTGTTGAGATTGTAATAAGCAGGCACAATTTGCTCTGAAAAATCCACTTGGTGACTGCAAATTGTGCTTTTGCTAGTCAGTGTTTGGCACCTATAAAATGGGCAGATATGGACAGAGGGGAGAATTCTCTCTCAGCCTGTAGCCTACAGATTACATATTGGAACTGAATATTAATCTGCTCACCATGTAGTTGAAAAATGTCCCTCAGCCCTGATTCAGACACATAAAGTAGGCTTTTACTCCAGTGGAACAAAAATAATACCTGTACTAGAATAAGGTTTCTAAAACTCTTATTTCTTCTAAAACTGATTTCAGAAGAAAAATTATCATATTTCTATCAGCACAAAATCATTTTAGGAGACATACTGAAAATTGTTATCAAATGAAATTTGTCCTTAAGTCAGTGCTTTCTTTTCTGGAGGACTGGATGTTGGGAGACTGACAATACAGTAAATTCAGGAAACCGATCGTACTGTAATGCTAAACTAAGCCAAGAGTCTAAATCGAAATACTTCTTGCCCTGTTTCCCACTGAATACGACCTTACACATCCTTCATTCTGTATGCATTCCACCTGAATAGCTGCTACTACTACCCTATTTAATTTGCAATCTATAGTGGTTTTTGGCCATACCGAAAAAGCTCCTTCCCATTGCAGCCAATCAGATCATACCAAGTGCACTTGCTCCTCCCACTCAGAGGAGCTGGTGCTGGACAGCTGATCAGATACAGAGTCACATCTTGGAGTATCAACATGGCAGACTTTAGAGCCTCCACGCTCAGCATGGTCTTCACATGTGTCAAGGGCGGCCATGTAAGGTAACGGCACAGTGTCCAGCCCTACTAGATCTAACTGGGTCGGCCTCTCAGCGACGGAACACTCCTCCTCCTCCTCTGTGTCAACCCGTCTCTGAGAGCAGGAACCCACATCTGTCATCACTTCCTGAGGTTTCCTGTTTTCAGGTAGGACGTCAACGCACGTTTTTTCATCATCTTGCAGACAACCTTCTCTGAGTGCAAGAAGTGCACCAAGGCCTGACTTGGTGTCGGAGGAGGATGAAGGAACCAGGGTGATACCTTGAGGATTCATGTCATGAAACCAAGCCATGATGTCACCTGCTAATGCAGAGGATGAGGATGGGTCGTGGCTGTCACATATTGTCGAGTTTATCATGTCACTGGAAGAGAGGAAGAGGCCTGTCGATGAATTGCTGCCACCTGGGACCACAGGTATTGGCACAGAGACCCCGTAGGCCTGGTGGTGACTGTCACAATGCTGTACATCAGCATGAACACCAGTGACAGCAGGGTACTGGCTACTGATGTTACCAAGTCCAGCCAAGTTATCTCCCAGCTCCAGAAGTTCTGAGCTGCTCAGGAAAGCTCTGGGGAGGACCTCTACACCAGGAGTATTCTGTTCAAGCCTAGAAGGCAGGGAGGTGCCAATTGCACCGAGTGAGGCTTCATTGGCAAGGACCTCATGGTTGGAGCCAGTCCCTGCAATCCCGGAGTCCTGGAGTGACAGCTGAATGGCCAGGAGAATGTTAGGATCATCATCATCCAAGGAACCAAGACCCTACAAGAACATAAAAGGACACAGTGTCAGTAATGCAGAGCACCCACACTAGGTCACAATGAACATGGTCCAGTTGCAGAATAACCAACAGGTAATGTGAGTATGTTTTTTTTTTTAATAGCTGCTATGTTGCTGGTTGCTGTAGAGGTGTTTTTGAGGTTTTACATTTCAAAGAGATGGTATGATGGAAAACAAAAGAAAACGAAAGGTTTAGGATGGATCATGGTGATGGCAGAGGTCTTCCTCTGTTGTCAAATTACAATCTGTCTCTATGGTGTTTTACATTATCTAAAAAAAAATTGTATCCCCTGCAAGTGGACAAGTGTTTTTGGAACTGTACCTGCTGTGACATCACGCTTGATCATGAAATCAGATATGCAGGATAAGCCCGCCCCCTGCGCATCGCTACACTGGAGCTAAATGAAACTAGCTGTGCTAAAGCTAAATTAGCCTTGGAAAAAGATGACTGTTACTTTGTTAGGAAACTTAAACATGTTCCTACAGCTTTGAAACCTCCAACTGAAGTCTCTAGTCTGCAACAGCTGGTTCCTCTCCTTTCCATTCAGAAGCAGACTGTGGTTCATATATCTCTACCTTTTATATGATAAAACAGTGGGCAAATTTGCTGGAGGAAGAAGTGCATCGTCTTTGGAAACAAAAATAAGATAAAACCCAAAATGGGTCCAACTAAATTTTGTTACACAGGACAAGCCCTTCAGAAAGCAATTCACCCAGATTAATGCTGTACTGTACATGTAGTCTGATAAGTTTCAAAGGCTGAAAGCCTTGGGCTAACATAAAAATGGTAACTGTACACTCACCATCAGAGTACCTTGTCGGCATTCACCCCCAACATCATGTGTGTCTTTGCAGAAGCAGAAATGGACAAAAATACTGTCATTAAACAGAATCTATACAGCAGTGCTTAGACAGAAATGTAAGCCACTGCCAATTACCACATTTTAGCAAACTCAGCAAGGTGACCAAGTAATCGAGTGCATAAACAGCATATACAGTCTCATGCAAAAGTTTAGGCACCCCTTGATAAATAACAGATTTTGGTGATTTTTTATTTGAACAGATGTTAACACAGTTTCTCTTGGAAATGGAAAAAATGCACAATATTTTCAGCAAACAGTGATGCATAGTTACTTCTTATGCCATAAATTGAACAAAAATAAAAAATAAAAACATTATTATGGCATGGTGCAAAAGTTTGGGCACCCTAAGAGTTCCAGAGTCTCAAAGTCTCTCACAAGGTATCAGACCTTAATCAGCTCGTTAGATCTGATGCACAGCAACAGCTGTCATTGGTAAATGCCAATTTCAAAGCTGTACAAATACTTTGACTCTTCAAACCTTGTGCACACACTTGTGGACACCCAGCAACCATGGGTTCCTCTAAGCAGCTGTGTAAGACCCTGAAAATGAAAGTTATTGACGCCCACAATGCAGGAGAAGGCTACAAGAAGATAGCAAAGCGTTGTCAGCTTGCAGTTTCCACAGTAAGAAATGTAATTAAGAGATGGCAGATCAGGGGAACTGTGGAGGTCAAGATGAGATCTGGAAGACCAAGAAAACTCTCGGACAGAACTGCTCGTATGCTGGTCAGAAAGACAAATCAAAACCCCCATTTGACTGCAAAAAACCTGCAGGAAGATTTAGCAGACTCAGGAGTGGTGGTGCACCGTTCCACTGTGCAGCGATGCTTGCACAGACAAGGCCTTCATGGAAGAGTCAGCAGAAGAAAACCTTATCTGCGTCCCCATCATAAAATCCAACGTCTGAAGTATGCAACAGGACATCTACAGAAGCCCGATGCGTTTTGGAAACAAGTGCTGTGGACTGATGAAGTTAAAATAGAACTCTTTGGACACAATCAGCAAAGGCATGTTTGGAGAAAAAAAGGAGCAGCATTTCATGAAAAGAACACCTTGCCAACTATTAAGCATGGGGGTGGATCTATCATGCTCTGGGGTTGTGTTGCAGCCAGTGGCACAGGAAACATTGCACGGGTGGAGGGAAGAATGGATTCCACTAAATACCAGCAAATTCTGGAAGCAAACATCACACCATCTGTAAAAAAGCTGAAGCTGAAAAGAGGATGGCTTCTACAACAGGACAATGATCCTAAACATACCTCGAAATCCACTATGGAATACCTCAAGAGACGCAGGCTGAAGGTTTTGGAATGGCCATCACAGTCCCCTGATTTAAACATCATTGAAAATTTGTGGGTAGATCTTAAAAGAGCTGTGCATGCAAGACGACCAAAGAATATTACAGAACTAGAAGCCTTTTGCAAGGAAGAATGGGAGAAGATCCCAAGTACAAGAATTGAAAGACTTTTAGCTGGCTATGAAAAGCGTTTGCAAGCTGTGATATCTGCCAGAGGAGGTGTTACTAAGTACTGATTGTGTAGGGTGCCCAAACTTTTGCACCATGCCATAATAATGTTTTTATTTTTTATTTTTGTTCAATTTATGGCATAAGAAGTAACTATGCATCACTGTTTGCAGAAAATATTGTGCATTTTTTCCATTTCCAAGAGAAACTGTGTTAACATCTGTTCAAATAAAAAATCACCAAAATCTGTTATGTATCAAGGGGTGCCTAAACTTTTGCATAAGACTGTAAACACCAAACGGCAGACAGGCAGTGGACCTTATTCACTATAATGTATACAAATGAACAACAAATGAAGACAGACAGTAAGATCCACTCCAGTACCTAAAGTATTGTCGCTGGGGTCATCCGGATCAGGTGTGTTGCTACGGAGACTGGACATGTCACCTCGCCTTCGCTGCCTATGTCTCCGTCTGTACTGGAACTCTGCATACTCCTTAAAACAAAAGCAAAAAAAAACTAAACTAACTAAAAAGTAATAATTTGTGTTTGCTTGTAAAGATTCATGCAGTCATTATGTCAACAACTCTTAAATCAGCATATCACTTCATGCCATATATTGCTGGTCAGGGGCCACAGTTGCTACAATTTCTTTGAATCATTTCAAAGATTTTTGTTATACACATGTATTAGATGAATTTGTAAAGCGTTAACATGGATTCAAATAGTGAAGCAGTTTGATTAAAATGGAGTATGTCTTCTGTTACAGGAAAGATCTGCCTCTAGAGACTACTTCAAACTCCTTCATCTCAGACCAAGCCTTCAATCATCAGGCTCCAGTCGAGACTGAATCCAAGCAGAACACGCGCTCACCAGGAGGGAATCAGAAAATTAGCAGCATGAGGACCAAGGTTCAAATGTCTTAAAATACCATGTGAATATGCCTGACTTATCTCAGAAACAACTAGAATACTTTATCAAACATGATTATTAAAAAGGAACATTTTATAAATATTTATTTCTAAGTTTTAAAAGTTTTATCCAGGCTTAGTTGTAATGAGCATGAAAAATGTAACAATGACGGACATGTCTCAAGAGACTGAGATCCAGTGATATCATAATGGCATCCATCATTTAATGATGCAGTATAATGCAACTTAAATAGGTGATTAAAGTTGTCTAATAAAAGAAAGTTCTACATGAAGTATACCTAGTTTAGACATATACTACATATCCTGTAGTGGTTACATGAATCATTCAATTCAGCGATACTGCCAACCGCCATAAGCTAGTGGTAAATGAAAGGCTACTCTCTGGCTATGGGCCAGTACAAAAGGTTTACAGATACTGAAATGGCCTAGCGGCATATCAAATAATTAATTCATTCTCCATTAAGTTATCTCATATATTTGCCAAAGTAACTGAGCCACATTAAAATCATCAAAAGCCTATCACCCAAACCCTGTCTTTAATGTTTCCACCACTCTAAAAATAATCCACTATAAAGAGATCTGTGGGCACTGTAAGAGCCATGGAGACGACCATCTGTAGCTGCGCCTGTGAGACAGCATCATCAGGCTTTGATTATTACTGTGGTGTTCCCATTAACTACTGCAGCTAAGAAACAGAGGCTCTTAATTACTTAATTAGGGGTCAAAAATGGCTTGATGGTCAGCTAAATAATGCCCTAAATAATCTGACAGCAATAAAATATTGCCCTGAATGATATCTAAGATGAGAATTTCACCTGTGTTTACTTTGATAATTTGTTCTTTTGAGGATAACCCACATCTTTGTAGCATTCACTGTGCTTAATTAAATGTTTTTTTCTGGCTTGTAAACTGAAGTGGTTATGTGTGCTTCAGCTGGCTTGTATACTACATTTGTCTTAAAAATCAATAGTAGAATAGTGCAGTACAGTAAACAAATAGATACAAATTAAGGTCTAACAGAGATACTAGCAAGCGAGACGTGGATTATTCCTAGTAATGTCTAATTAAGACCAACAGTGTGGCAGACAAAAAACTGTTTCAAATTGTTCAAAAAGTGACTGCTACTTCATTATTCTGGCGTGTTCAGACCAACCAGTGAGAGAGCAGGTTTACTAAGACTGGATATAAATATCAATCTTCCTATTAACTGCAACTTGAACAATTCAGTATTGATTCTTAAAATCCTGATATCAGTCTTTGCATTTGCAGCTTTTCTAAATAAACCTGTACATCTGCCCTGAATGTCACCTGTATGGAGAGGTTACTTGTTATAATGGGCTTAGTTTGGACTGTATGATGTGTAAAATAGCTTTGTTGTGGAAACTGGGCTGCGTGGGCAAAAAGGTTGTAAAGTAATGACAACGGCCTGCTATAATAACCATGTTTAGTACACCTAGTACACCTAGATAAGTGAGTCTAACCCAACAATCCTGCAATAAATCACCTTCATTAAGGTTAATGTTAATTTTTTTTTTTTTTTAACTGTTTCAAATGATCATTTTGAGGCTGGGGTAGCTCTACCCCTGAGCGACAGACTAAAGGAGGACTCATCTGAGCTCTCAATTTGCTTTGTTAAAGCGATGTTTTCTCTGGCTACAGGATTTGAGGTTGTGGAAGTTGAGTGAACAGTGTGTGGATTCTACTTTCTTCGGTCTGTTCCTGTTGGGAAGCCAACGCCAGCTAGCAGTTGTCCTCATATTTAACTGATCGTCAAAGTTGGTGTGTGGACTTAGTTGAAGCATCTGCTACTGTATGTAGCTCTACAGGGTGAGTGGTATAGATAATAAATGGATGGATGATGTGCTTGTTAGCACCGCAGGGTTTCTATTATTCCTGCTCAACCCTTTTTTGCACATGCTTAAAAACTGAGATGTGTCGTTATTTGCCAAGGAAAATAAATCCATCCATCCATTATCTATCCAAGCTTGTATAATAAAATATCCGTCCAGTAGTGGCCGTTTACATCTTCAGTAAACACACGCTTTCCTCGTGCTTCACTGCATGGTGCTGAGCAGGTAGAGGATAAGGAGTTTCAAAATTCATTTATCAAACTGGCATGTGTGCATGCATCAAGGTGTACAGGAAAAAGAAACAAGTCAATAATCCATTATGTGGACAACAGTTTTATGACTCTGTTAACTACAAATGTGCAGTGATTGGGAGCAACCTGCTTTCGCCAAAGCACTGGTGCACAGGGGAAAACTGAACCATCTGTCTTGCTCCGGTGTGTGGAATCACATTGGGATTTTTGGCTTATCATGGGTTGTCAGTGGTGTTACAGTAAAAGTCAAACCAGCAATATTAAAAACATTTACACTGACTACTGATACTCATAAGAAAGGTGTAATGTAGGGTTGTGTAATTTCATTATATATAAATCATGATTTAGGCTTATATAATTAGTTAAGCTTGATTAAATGTGATTTAACAACGTTGTGCCTGCATTAGTACATCAAATCAAGCGCTCCCAATTTACAGATAAACGGTCCGACGAATCACAATGGTTTCAAGCATACTGATTAACCACTTTCAGCTTTGAAGGGGGGTGTAAGAGCTGTAAGTGTAATGGAACGGCATCTTCTATAAAGATTAAACATTTCATTTGTCTACATTTCACAGTGATATTATAAAATCTGATATGTCAGATCATAACATAGTGTCAAAGGCATATGTACATTTCAGCCCCTTACTCACTGTGTTTTTGAGGTGGGTGGGACTGGTACGCCTTTATTCTGTCTCGTTTTCTGTGTGTAAGGCACAAAGCCGGAATGGTGGGCCATTTTCGGTCCACCTTGGGACGTAGTACCAGAGGTGAAACGCACTCTGTGTAGAAAGGTTGAGCCAACGGTCCAGGACCAAGTGCTATGTTTTGATGAGGTAATATGTACGTGACATTATCACTGGTGTCTCAAGTCTGCATGCCGCTCTGCCTCAAACTGTTCTCGGCTTCTCTCTAACTTCCAGGTTAAAGCTTTCCTGATTATGATCATTAACGCATTGGTTGCAGTTTTTACTCATGACAGTAGTACACACAGCAAGAACCACATCAATTTTTCTTTAAGTGGAAAAAACACTTGACGAGCCAACAAAGCTATTTCCGCACTTATCTCTCCTGCCATTGGTGTTGGTTGTTTTAGACTACTGGCACAAATTTTATGTCACAGCTGACTTAGAGCTCGTGTCTTGCCTCTGGTGTGGAATGATGGCCTGCTGTCTAAATTCACAGGCCATCTTGCGATTATACCGCCCTTAAGTTAATCTGTATGAACAGCACAAGGGTGATCTTTTGAACTGGCAGTAGCGCAGGATCTCAGTATAAAAATGATTTTAGTTTGTGTGGGTTGAAACAACACAGCTGACATTTTAGCTAACAAGCATTCACTGAAATTGAGGCTGGTTCTGTTACCTCAGGTGATGCAAAGCCTAAATATTCCCAGTCCCACGTTCCGCCAGCGAAGCTACAATTAAGAAAGAGACAAAGTTTTTGTTAGTATAACAATGTGATTAAGTGCTGAACTTGTATAACTAATTGGCCACTTGTGTTACATTGCAGTAGTGTTTTTACAATGTAGTTTGACACATCTAGTGAGCTATATGTATGTCTTACCTGCGCCTGGGGGCCTCAGGAGAGTCATTGGGGGCCACTCCCCTGGCTACAGAGGCCAGGAACTCCTGCCTCTTCTGCTGTACCAAACACGCTGCACGAATGATTTTGTGACGCGGCGTCCGCAGGTAAGGCCGATTAACCTTCTGTGCCAGGTCCTCAGTCACCATCTCCAAGTCTGTCTGAGAACAGAAAAGTGAGCTGGACCAGAGACTTTCTTCTTTTTTTTTTTTTTTCTTTTTTTTTCTTTTTTTTGAAAACTCAGTGAGTGATTCAAGTTTATGATTATACAATTTCAAGTTTACTTTTGTCTCATCAAATAATCTGTTCCTAAACTGGGTTGATCAAGGACAAAGTGACTTTACAAGTACCTGTACAACTGAGCTACTTTTAGGACAACTGTGTATTAGGGGTGTAACGGTTCAAGGAAACAATCCGAGCCATTTGGTTCACTAGTCACGGTTCGGGGCACACATGTACTGTTCAGTTCATTTGAAATAGGCTAAAGTATATGCAGAAAAAAAAAAAAAGCCTCGTGCCAATAAGTGGCACAGATTATCATTGCAGCTGTCAGTCTACTAAATGGCAAGTGGACAAGACAAAGTACAGTTAGTAGATCTGCCAGCGTCGTTTCGTTCTAGTACGAATTTACTGGGAATTCCTCTGTGAAAGCAAGATGTAAACACCACGTTCAGTGTTGTCAGAACAGCTGTCTGTCAGCAGGACCGCAGGAAGACGGGTCAGACCAACGATCTTCACTGGGCTGACTGACAGCAGAAATGTACTGGACAAAAAAGTTTTTATGTATGCTCATTAGGGAAAAATTAGCACGTTTTTACATTTTTAAGAATTAATTTATTAATTAATTGTACTGATTTTCCCTGGCTCACTGCACAGGGTGGAGGAAAGTGGAACCAAAAATGCTCGGAGTTACTGAACAGATACCAGTAAAAGTCTGCAACAGATAACTAGGGATTTGACTGATTCATAGAGCTGCAGCAGCAGGAGGAAAAAAATAGTCCTGAAACTTAAAAAAAAAAAAATGACGTGCCTCTTACACGCTCTGTGTAAATTGACATATTTGATAGAACTGAGTTCTATCTGTTGCGTGTCTAGTGGTGGATATAACAAATTACCTCGCTGTACCATGTGAGAGACTGTTCTCTACAGCAGGGTACATTGTTGCTGCAAGTAGATCTTGTCAGGAAAACAGAAGATTGTACAGTTTGAGTTTGGTTCATGCTGCACTTTATGTTGACATTTTATGTTTTTTTATGGCCTTCGCCAGATTTTTAAGGCAAACATTCAACTTTTTCTCCCACAGCTTTACCAAAAACAAAGCAAACCAAACTGAAAACCATGACCCCAAAACTGAGCTATGAATTTGATATGAAATATGAATTTTGTGAACCGTTCCACCCCTACTGTGTATCAATCTACTGTAAAGAATAAGAAACTAAGATTTACGGTAGCTTCGCCCATTAATTTTACAGTAATTCAAAGGCAATATAAAATATAGCAGGTAAGTACATTTTGCATCTATACTGGCAATCATAAATTATACAACACTAATTTTTAGCTAAAATCTGAGATGTGCTGGTATAACTGGGATGATCCCGAGGTAGAACGCATTAGTCCCACATCTCTAATGACACCTATGAAACTGCCCAATATGAACATTTGTCTTTCTTCTCAATAAGTTGGACTGATTGATACCTGCATAAGCTCGTAGATCTCTTTCTTTGTGCTTTTCGGCTCCAGAAAGAACCCATAGGGATAGGAACACTTGAGGATGCGGCGAGTCTTTAGTAGTTCTAGGACAGCATCTTCAATGAACGTAGTGTCAGGTGGGCCTCCTTCCCCTGGGAATAAGAAGTACAGAGAGATTCAGATAACAAAAATTAGTATCTGCTTTACTTTTGTAAAATACATCCCTCAATTCTTCCTAAGTGACCTACACTTCTAAGCAGACCAGTCCAAAATGATGAATACATGTATTGTAGATACTGTTTTAAATTATGTCCCTGCAGTCTACAGTAGCTTCATGGGAAGAGAGGGCCAGGAACTGTGCTGGCCTTTGGTGAACTGTACATTTGAAATCTCTTTAACAGCTCCTGAGGGTAAAACATCTGCTGGATCTTTGGTGAATATCATGCTCAAGCTGTGACCTCATTTGAGTACATCGTTTGAGTAAAGGTGTATCATAGTAGTGAGTATAAACATGTTGAACAGTCAAAAAGAGGGCACAAGTGAAGGCAGCAGAATCCTTTGTGTCATCTTTAAAAGAAACATAGTTTAACTTTAATTTTAAAAAGTCATCTGCATCTAAATAGTGAGTATAGTGATTGGTAATCACAGCCAATGGTGATTTTTGGAAAATAAAACCTTTCTGCAGTTCTATTATGCAGGATGAACTGTGCAAACTTTCAACTAAGCCAAAACCATGACTACTGAGCCATGACCAATTCCATCTCTCTGCAAGCTGGCAACCACAATAATAGAGGCAGCACCACTGCAATCAGAATCTACTGAGATTTAAACTGAGTGAGTATCAGAACAAAATGTCACTATGCTAACCAGGTTTTAATTGCCTTTACAGATGGGGGGCTTAAAGGACTCTAGACAAAGCTTATTTACAGAGCAAAGCTTTCTTGTAACTTAGACATGCCTGCTGAATATTAACTATACCCACTGCTATTAATACATTATTAAAACACTTTTTTTTGTTTTTCTCCCTCTTCCATACTTCCCAAAACTCAACACCAGAGGACTAGATTAAGATGTGTCTAAAGATGCAATGAAGATTGACAGTGTTATGGCAGACTGCATACTCACTTGCACTCAGCGCTTGACTGAGATGCTCCATCTTCTCTTTGGCTGTTTTTAACAGGCGCTGCTCCAGCTATGGTGGAGAGAACAGAAGCTGAAACCTTTGATTGTTGCATAAAATGGCTTGCCAAACAAAGAGAATGCCAGAATATGAGATTACATAAATGAACAAAGGTGGGAGCAGCAGACTTTTTTTTTTTTTTTAATTATGGCACAATTGCTGCCACAACAATCCCCAAAGAAGTACTGTAGGGCAGTCTCTGGTAATGTAGTAGTTGTACAGAATACAGAAATATTACACTCTCATCATTTCACAGTATACTGCACAGAGCATGTCAATCTCTAAGGCCATGTGCCAGTTTTACACTAGATTACACGTTCCCACTGGTTACATCCACTGCATGACTCTTTAAGCTCTTTTCCATCAGCTGGTACCGGCTCAACTCAACTTGACTCAACTCTGTTCTACTCGCTTTTGGTACCGGGTGCTTGGTTTTCCACTGCAGATGGTCCCCTCTCAGTGTAGCTGGTTACACTGCCATGACGTCGTCAGCAACCGACAAAGTAATAATGGAGGACATCGAAGGTATGCTGTTCTTGATTCTCGATGTGTGGCTGTTTTTAGTTAGTACAGTAACTACAGTAAAGTAGTGGTTAGCGTTAAATAGCGTTGCTTTTAAAAAATGGCACTTTCTTTGTTCCTGGACGTCTCGTGTATTGATGATGCGATTTCTCTTACCAGTCCCTAGTCTGCAGTGTTTACTCATCGCCATTTGGTATTGCCTCTGCTCAATTGGAACATCAAGGGAGGTGATACCAAAAATAGTACCAGGTAGTATCCCCAACGTTTGATGGAAACACAAATAAGTTGAGTCGGGTTGAGCCAGTACCAAGTGGTGGAAAGGTGGCTTTTGTACACTATGCAAAGCAGACATAATTAGAAAACACAGCCAGACCTGTTTACCTGATAGCTGTGCTCATGGTTCTTGAAGCGTGTGTAGTAGTGCATAAAACGGTCGAGTTCCTGGAAGCTCTTGTGCTTCTTCTCTGCCTGGAAAACAGTGATGAGACAACAGTTATAGCCAATACACTCATGAGCATGTTTATTTCGCCTCACAGAAGCATAGTTACTCTGGTGTGCTCAAGTTGAGTGCAGTCAGATTAACTGAGTAGAGCCACAGGTGCAATCCGTGCTTATGACCGGGAAGAGTGCTAGCGAAATAAAACTTTTACAGCTTGGATGAAGGTAGGTGGAAATGATTGTACACAACTCCACGGTCAAGACTCTGAAGCAGGTTCTGTGCTTGTGTTTTCAATCACACTTATGTGATTGACATAGACTCAAGTGCTTTCCTGATAGCATTTAAATATATGAATACAAGTATTGTACTTGGCTGCCTGCATATTAGGCTTATGCTGATTGGCGATCAGATCACGATTGATGACACAAATGCTGATTGGTTTTTATTTCAATCTGCAATGACTGTTAATCAGCACAAGCGACTCTGCTCCTTAAATTTAATTAATCTGTTTGCGATCCCTTTTCCATCTGCCAATCAAGATTGCTGTGCTATCTGACAAAACCCTGTATCTCCATTCTGCATATGCTTGATTCTAGTCGAAGTGTTTGTATGTGTCCACTGGCTCTGTGTTGACTTAAAAATATTTTCCAGTTATGCACTGCAGAACCAGTTATTGTGTGGGTAATTAGAGAAACAGAGAGGTGTGGCAGCGATCTTTGACTCAAGCCTATTAATTGACCCTAGACCTAAACATAGTTATAACTCATTTGAAAGTCTCACCCTGAGTCTCTCACACCCAAACTGGAAAACTCAAAAGCCTGTTCTGTTTGTTATTGTATACCGTCCACCTGCTCCTTATTCAGAGTTTTTAAGTGAATTCTCAGACTTTCCGTCTGATTTTGT